ATTTGCAGTAGGTATATATACATGAACTTGTGGTTAGAGCTTGACAACTGCTGTCTGTAGCTAAGTTGGTTAGAGTGTTGTACCGCCATTACCGGAATTTGCAGTAGGTTCGATTGCTGCCAGGGACCTGTATCAGATGCATTTTTTGCAACTGATCCTGGTTAAGTCTAATAAATGTATAAAATTTCTACTCAGTAATTTACATCATTAGACTACAAGACCCTTCAACTACATAATTGTAGAGTAGAGCACATCAAATTTTAAGAGACAGTTAAATGTATTCAATTTTGGAAATCTGTCTTCAAATGTGATTCAATATGTAATCTAGCACAGTAGGCAGACATCTACACAACTTAACTATACATTGAACACTGAACGAACAAGGAAAACTTGTGTCAGTCAATGTCTGGCAAATAGCCTTTGACTTTGATATCAGATAAACATGATAAACAATATATACATAGTTTCTAAGTTAGGCAAGGCATGAGCAAACTAAGAATTTGGCACCCACCCCTGCAGTTCTCATTCACCTTAACATTGGAACGACTGGAATCGTGTACAGGTATAAATATGTTTCATTTGATAGTTCAAATCACCAAAATTGCACAATTATGGTGTAAGGAAAATATTAGACATTTAGTTTTAATAATATATACTCATTAATAAATAGCCGGCTTAAACCATTGACATGTGGTTTCACCTGGTCTGATGAATTTGTCCACAGTGATTGAGTCTGTGGCATTTAAATTTTAGCTATCTGGGGCCAGTTGTTCAAAGCTAGGTTAGCATTAACCCAGGGTTAGCAATAACCCAAACAACAGACCCCTTGGGGACGACTGGCATTATGTATAAATATGTTTCATATTTTGATAGTTCAAATCACCAAAATTGCACAATCATGGTATAAGGAAAATATTACATATTTTTTAGTTTTAATTAAATATATACTCATTAATAATTAGCCGGATTAAACCATTGACATGTGGTTTCACCCGGGCTGATGAATTTGTTCACAGTGATTGAATCTGTGGCATTTAAATTTTAGCTATCTGGGGCCAGTCGTTCAAAGCTGGGTTAGCATTAACCCAGGGTTAGCATTAACCCAGGGTTAGCATTAACCCAGGGTTAGCAATAACCCAAACAACAGGCCCCTTGGGGACAACTGGCATTATGTATAAATATGTTTCATTTGATAGTTCAAATCACCAAAATTGCACAATCATGGTGTAAGGTAAATATTAGATTTTTAGTTTTAATCATATATACTCATTAATAATTAGCCGGCTTAAACCATTGACATGTGGTTTTACCTGGTCTGATGAATTTGTTCACAGTGATTGAGTCTGTGGCATTTAAATTTCAGCTATCTGGGGCCAGTCGTTCAAAGCTGGGTTAGCATCAACCAAGGGTTAGCAATAACCCAAACAACAGGCCCCTTGGGGACGACTGGCATTATGTATAAATATGTTTCATTTGATAGTTCAAATCACCAAAATTGCACAATATATGGTGTAAGGAAAATATTAGATTTTTAGTTTTAATAATATTAGCCGGCTTAAACCTTTGATATGTGGCTTCACCCGATCTGATGAATTTGTCCACAGTGATTGAGTCTGTCGCATTTTAATTTTAGCTATCTGGGGCCAGTTGTTCAAAGCTGGGTTATAAATAACCCAAACAACCAGCCCCTTGGAAACGGTTTTTAAAAGTTTGGTTAGCTTAACCATAGGTTTATTTATTTATTTAGCTTTTTATACATAAGCTAAAATTCACAGCAAACTTCCTGACAGCAATGGCTTGTCTATATACAACCGACCTCTGATGAGCGGTTTTAAAGCGCCAGCATAAAACCGCTAAATATTTAATACTACACTGGGTTTATACGAAAGAAATCTGTCAAGTTTTCCTTTCATAAAATTTGTTTAATATATTAATATTAAAGCAAGCCAAACAATGCAGCTGTGAGCTGACACATCGTGATGCTATTATAATTTAATAAAACGAAAGCTAAACTTGCGGCGAAATGCAAATATGGAGCGATGCATATAAACAGCAAAACGTGCTAAACTATAAAGCACACAACATACCTTTAGTCTCTGCCTTTAGCCGGCGTGTCGCTTTCTGCCGGCGTGTCGCTTTCAGAATTCAGACGGCAAATTCATAGTCCAAAACATAGTCTTCCGTTCGATACTCCTTGCACCCAGAATAAGTTACATGTTTACGTAGTCTGTAAGCGTGTGCTATTATACAAAACAATACGTTTTACTCCGCATAAAAACTGTTCATATATTGGCATAAATTTTCGAGTAAATTTTAGCTTTGTCAGCTCGTATTATTTACGCGCGTTTGTCTGTCAAGGTTATCAAATTTCCAACGGCGAAAATAAAATTTAATTTAGCACTACTAACGCACAGACAGGAGCCAATGAGCGACGATTTCCCAATACACGCAGTGTTCTGATTGGCACACAACAATTGCAAATTGCCAGAAAAATATTGCGTGGGTTTCCTCTGAAGTCCAAAGTCAAAACAATCTGCCATTCTTCAGCGTGTTATATTATAAATTTATAGCGCACATATTAATATAAATTGCTATTTATTTATGAATTATATTCGTTATTGCTGATTCCTGATTATTCAGAGAGACAAACTGTTCCAAGTTGAGTGTCTGGCGGTATTGCCGTATCATGTGAACATGAACTCGCAACGCTCAATGTCAGAAGCCAACAACATGAATTCGCAACGCTCAATTACAGAGGCCATGCAGAGGGCAGAGGGTAAGTTTTCAAATATATAGTAGCTTCTAGAGAACCTTGTAACAAGCTTTCGTTGGTGGAGATGCAACAACCTGAAAAATATAAGGCGAATTTTGACGTTTCGAGCGAAGGCCCTTCGTCTGGAGTATTAACTAAACTCAGTAAGTTTTATAATACTCCAGACGAAGGGCCTTCGCTCGAAATGTCGGAATTCGCCTTTAATATAGTTATATTTTTCAGGTAGTTGCGTGAATCCCTACGAACGAAAGCTTGTTAATGTTGGCACTACCAACACTGACACATACAGTTCTAGAACCTTGTGCCTTGAGTTTAATGAATTGGCTACATGATATAATATAGTCTTTATACACTGTTATAAAGGTCAGAGATTTCCAGCACTGATAATCTCACATGTGAGATTATATTTATGCATAGTCACTCAGATTTATGATAATTTCTCATGTGAAAATTATCGCTTTTCAGTTAAAACGCATTGCCATGGACGTTTTATTGCTTTTCACTGAATTTTGTTTGTATAATAAACAGAAAAATACATGGGTGCTTGGAAATACCAGATTTATTTTGAGTGTTGAACATGATATCTCACTCGTTCGCTGCGCTCACTCGTGAGATATCATATTCAACACTCAAAATAAATCTGGTATTTCCGCGCACTCATGTATTATTCTCTATATATTTTATATGTTTAGCAATCACAATAGGCCTATGTATAAATATTGTGTCTTCTTGCGCAGAGTTGTAACGATATTTGATACTATAGGAACTCCATGCTTGCCAGTATATATTGCGTGGGTTTTGAGTAACTCTCTATAGAGAAATATGTAATAAGTGATCAAGACTAAATTTTGATCTAAGCAAGTCTAGGCAGAAATTTCACAAAATTATTTCGCGTCACAAAATTAGTAATATTCCAAAGTTTCGTTGCGAAATGTTGTAAAATGCAGATAATAGAGACTAATTGCGATATTTATTAGAATGTTAGGGTTTGTAATCCAAGTGAGAATATATACATTTTAAGACCTAACCAGGAACGACTGCGAAAAATGCAGCACAAGGTCCTCTGGTAGGAATTGAACCTACGGCCCTGCGATTCCGGTGCAGCGCTCTAACCAACTGACTGAACTGAGCTACAGAGGCCAGCTGTTGAGCTGTAACCACAAGTTCATGTATATACACCCTTTTCAAAAAGGCGGAAATTAGGGCGGCATATTAATAAGGTGCATGAAAACGAGGCTAGTTGGGCCTCGCGCGATGCGGTTCTTCCAAATTTATATGTAGTGTCTAGTGAGCAGTAAACGTTCAAAAATTTGGCGATAAAAACCTTTAAAAGGTCATATTGTGAACTGTATTCAGCCCATCAGAAATGCCTGCAAATTGTTGCGTCCCTAAATGCACTAAAAAAGGTTCCAGAGATGAGAACGGGTCAAAAATATCTTATTATAAGTTCCCTGATAACTCGACGATCATGAAGCGAAAGTGGATTCATGCAATTAGACGTGACGAAGGAAGAGATTTCACTATAACAAAGTGGACTAAAGTCTGTTCAAGACATTTTAGAGATTACGACTTTCAGAAAACACTGAATGGCAGGAAAAAATTGCGCCCGAACGCTATTCCTTCGCAATTTGAATGGACTAGAATGTCACCAAGAAAGCGCAATGCACCTACTGTACGCGTGCCTATAATTGATACTTCTAATCCCAATGATAATTTCTCGAGAGATTTGAACTTAGAAACTTCAACTTCTGATGGGGAAAATAATAACGAAATTACTATTGATTGCCCATTAAAGGATGTAGAAACACAAACGGTGTCAAATCAGATTGATACTGCTGTAAGTTCTTTTATTTGTCAAAACGCTCCAATCAATGCCAATGCGGGCAATGACAACACAGAAAAACTAAAACAACAATTGCTAGATTACGAACGAGACTTGAAAAACGCGAAATTAAATATTTTGTCTCTTGAGCAAAAAGTTTTCACGGCAGGTCGGTTTAAAGATCACGACTCGTCTGTCCGATTTTACACTGGTTTTGCAAATTGGAGAACTTTCATAGCTATATTTAACTATTTAAATCCTGGTCGTAACGGTGAGAACATCAAATACTGGTACTCTGATTTGTCTCAATGTGAAACAAGTGATGACAATAACACCACTATGCCTATGGAAAATAAACCAAAATTAGGTAGACAAAGAAATCTCAAACCTCTTGACGAATTTTTCGCCGTTATGTGTAGGCTTCGACAAGGCTTTCATGAGGAACATTTAGCTAACCTGTTCGGTGTTTCGACAGCCACGATTAGTCGTATTCTAATTTCCTGGATAAATTTTATGTACTTGAAACTTGGGCAACTCAATATTTGGCCTTCAAGGGAAGCAGTCGACAAGTTCATGCCTGAGAGTTTTAAAAAGAAGTATCCGTCCACCAGAGTGATCATAGATTGCACGGAAGTTCGATGTCAAATGCCAAACAGTTTGCATTTAAACGGCGAATTATTCAGCAACTATAAGCATCACACGACATTCAAAGGCTTGATTGGTATAAGTCCTGGAGGGGCAGTGACTTTCATTAGCCAATTGTACACTGGCAGTATATCGGACAGAGAAATCGTCATTCGAAGTGGATTTCTTAAACTCCCTTTCCAAAATGACGATTCCGTTATGGCAGACAAAGGCTTCACAATCGAGGATGTTTTACCCCTCGGTGTATTACTGAATATTCCACCGTTTCTTGGGCAGTCCAGTCAAATGTCCGCTAAGGATGTTGTCAAAACGGAAGAGATTGCCAGCTTGCGGATACATGTAGAACGAGCTATTAACAAAATAAAGAACTTTCATATATGGGACTCAGTCATACCACTTAGTCAGGTTGGAATTTTAAACCAAATGTGGACAGTGTGTGCAATCTTGTGCAATGCTCAACCAAATATTATCTCTACTTGACGCGTTATACACTGACTGTATATAGTTTTAATTGTTTACGTTTGCACAATTATATATGAAATGTACATTTTTAATGAAATTATGAAATGTACACCCTGAGAACGAATTCCTATTGGTTAAGATATTCAAAACTATCATTTCTATTACTGTAATACTGCATAACTGCTACTGCTCATAGTCGAGGACAATACAGTCTGACGAAGTTTTTACTTGTTTGTATTTATATTTAACAGTTATCAGTAACGCAAATATTAATACATTTATTTGTTAAAATCAGCTGCTGCAACTTTAATCATGTTTAAAATAATATTCGGTAAGTTTATTTCTGACCGTACTCCAAAACGCAGGTTCAAATGGAATTCTTTCAACATACAAGCCTTTGCTTGTGTAAACAATAAAATCGCACCATTTACATCCAGTAACTCCCATTTGACCTTGTACCTGGGAAAAATACGCGTGGTTTCTTTTCAGTCTACAATGTGTGTTACTATTTTTTTCCATGCAGAAATTTGGATCTGAGCATGCATCCAGTGGTGCAACATTAAATTTAGTAGATGGGCATTTAACTTCAGCCAGCCCAAAGCAAACGGAGCATCCAGGGTCGATAATTCTGGCATCAGGTGTTGCTCCAAGTAAGGGGTAGCATTTTGAAACGACAAGACCACTTTTCAAAACAGTAACAGGGGTTTTCCGGTTCAACATAAACTTTTCATATTCTTGAAGAGCAATGGGTTCATATTTAATTCCATGGGCCAAATGCTTGGACGAGATTTTTTTCGGATACATGAGCGACTGCACAAATGTTTCGTGATTTCGTTGCCTTCTACACTGTTATTTTCGGGGTGTTATTTTAACACCACTTTGAAGGAATTCTAGAGGGGTAATACGGGAGTTAAAAATTTGAGCTCTTTTAACTCCATAACTGGAGTTAAAATAATACCCTTTGAGGGGTTACAGGCATTCGCAAGCTAATCAGTATTCAAAAGTAACACCACGTAAGGGGGGTTAGTGAATCTAACTCCATTTGAGGGGTTACTGGCGTCAAGACTCAAGAGCAAGTCTCACATGATTACATATGGCGTTCAAGTTGATATTTTATAAACAGTTCTGTGAATTTTCCTGTTATATACGAGGAATGAAAGCTTTAAGAATCAAATTATGGATGAAGAACATTTCGAAGGTTAGTTTATCACTTTATCTACCGGTTGTTTGTAGCCCATTTAGCTTAAACGGCGGATATAAGTCAAATTTTCATTCGTTTTGTGAATAACTGAATACAAGTTTTTTAAAAACCTTAAAAATGTTGTTGTACATAAGTGTTCTTTTCAGATTGAAAAAATATTTTGATTGTTCCAATGAATACACAGACTTGCTTAATTGATATTCTGGACTTATCCACCGTTTTATAGACTAAACGCG